CTTTTAGCATTTGGAACGGATCAAACGTGGCTGCCTCCAGCAGCGATCACAGACACTGTCCTCCCAGTTGGATTGATATGTGGCACATTTTTAGTGTGGTTACGTTGTTTACCTTTTCCCTGTCTGCTCTTCTGTTCCTGCAGTGGGCTACCGTCACCTTCCACCTCCCTCACCATGTGCTAAAGCTTGTGGCCGGCGCCATTGTCAGCGAGCTGAAGAAGATCAACCAGAACGTAGCTGCCTTGTCTGTAGCCTCCTCCATCATGGACAGGCTCTCCTACCTCCTGTCCAGCGCCAGGCCGGAGCTGGGGGTGGGCCCTGGTCGCTCTGTGGACAGGTTGGAGCAAAACCCTTCCTCATATCAGAGATAAACAGATGAAGACCATCATTCTAGATTGGGTTTGCTTCAAAGAAGGCGTTTCTATCCACAGATCCCTGATGTACAGTGAGGCTAACAGGCGGGAGACGTTTACATCGTGGCCACATGCCGGCTACCGATGGGCTCAGCCTGACCCCATGGCTCAAGCTGGGTTCTATCACCAGGTGTGTACTGAAGCGGGTCTGGGCCAACAGGAAGATGGGTTTTCCTATAGAAATCAGCCTGTAGTGAGCTCAGCTGCCCACCTACTTTCAGATAAAAATAAAGGAGAAAATCCAGTACTTCCTGTTCCCTTACTCCCCGTGCTTCCTGGAAGAAGGAAGAAAAAAATGCTGTGGCCTTAACGTCATCCTATAGAAAATCATGAGTGGTGGAGCATCCTGGCTTTAGTTTTAGTGCTTTAGGCTAAAAGTCAGCAGAGAAAGCTGAACAGCAGTAGAGCTGCTGCAGGCAAAATGTTGGTGAACATCAGCGCCACTTTGCTCTGAATCCCTGAAATACGGGAAGTTGAGGATTCGGTCTTTCCTGGTGTTGCTTAAGGCCTTACCTCTCCACAGCTGCCTGTTTTTGACCCCTCTGTCTCACTGTCACAGCCTGCCTCCACTGGGGATGACAGGGCGATGTGTTTCACCTGCAGCGTGTGCCTGGTCTGTTGGGAACCTACGGATGAGCCATGGTGAGTAGATCAGAAGGAACCACCAGCTACCTCCTCTACCGCCAACCCCCCTGACAGTCCTCCCTACGCCCCCTCAGGTCTGAACACGAGAGACATTCTCCCAACTGCCCCTTTGTGAAGGGCGAGCACACGCAGAACGTCCCTCTGTCGGTCACGCTGGCCACCAGCCCTGCTCAGTTCCCCAACGGTCCTGACAGCTCGGACAAAATCGCCTGCTACGGCTTCGGCAGCTGCCCGCAGTTCGTGGCCGCCGCCACCAGGAGGGGCAAGATCTGTATCTGGGATGTGTCCAAAATGATGAAGGTGAGGGCCGCCGGCCGCCCGCTCCTGATCCGCTGGTTTAGGAATAGTTTCCATTAAGATGCAATGTTTGTCTCCACAGGTGCACCTGAAGTTTGACGTGAATCCGTACGATCCAGCCATCCTCAGGCAGCTGATTCTGAGCGGCGGAGAGCCGGGCCAGCAGCCGCTGACCGAGTCCAGAAGGCCGACTCTCACCTGGCTGGAGGAGTCCTCTTCCTGCTCTGACCTACCCAAGCTGGAGGGAGACAGGTAAAGCACACAGTCTGGAAGATGGATGTCATCACACCAGCTGGTTCTCCGGGACGGAAAATTAGGTCTGATCATGATTAGCCCGTTAAGCCCGGTACAGGGCCCAGTACAGGGCCCAACTGACACCTGCTGATGTATATCTATTTACAGAAATGGCCAAAACACAGTCACATGGTGTTTCATCCACACGCTTTCAAATGGGGCTTTATCATTTTTAAAACATGTTTCAAAAATATTTTTTCTGCTTCCGATTGATCATAAAGCCATACATTTGGGAAAAAGCTCAAGATGGAGAAAAAGCTAGAGAATGGGAAAATGCTAATTTCAAGAACAGGAAAACGAGGAATTCGGGACATGGATGCAGCCTATCGATGCTTAAGATTATTTATATATATAAATGAGAGTCATGGGTACTTGTTGATGGTATTAATATTATTTCTAAGAGCATTAAAAAGCATTAAATTAGA